TCCCCCTAATGATACAGGGTGCATGGTTATGCTATGGGCTGTTCATAGCATCTGCAAACCTTCACACTTAGCAAAGAAACTCTCATTTCTATTTATAGAGCTATAGTGCATTGTCTTCTAATCCTGTGGTTTCACTTAGCTTTGAGTTTGTAGTAATATACAGCCTATTTATTTATGGAGCCCTTTGCTTAAGCTAGGTGCCCTCTGGCCCCTTCCATAGTTTGTGTAGTTAGTGGACCACTGCAATCTTCACTGTAATCCTTTCTCATAGCCCCTCAATTGTTGTGTTTAGGTAGCAAAGTGGACATTCCCTACCTAAGGATATCCCTCAGGTAGTTCCCAATACGAGAAGTCTAGGTGCAATTGACCTCTTCTAGGGTATTTTTGGATGTACAAAACTTTAAAAGGAATTTGGAGGTACTTAACTCATCTATCACTTCTGGTCCACCTACTCTGCCTTCTCCTCAGAGTTACTCTCAGTGGTTAGGAAGGATTGGCTGAAAAGAGGCTGATTTTCTGTAGCCCAGACCTGTAGCCACAGTCTCTTGAATATGATGTTCCAAGGAGCCTCAGAGCCCCAGAGCCCAGCGCCACACTATATTGGGCACCTAACACCCAACCACTGCTACCACCACCAGAATTGCTAAAAGATGAACAGAAGGCAGCTGAAGGCAATCCTCAAGACTTGAGTAGTATCAGTAGATAAGAGCAAGAGAATTTTTCAAATAAGCCATGGGAGGAAGAAGTATGTCAGTGTAGGACATACCTGTGTAGTATATTATAGAGAGTATCTGTAAGGCTCTCTGCCTCAAAATACTTCCTTCGCTAATACCTGAAATATCAGTCATTTGGAGGTAAGCATTCCCTTCTTCCTGAATTGATTTTTAAATCTTTATGATCCTAAAAATATATTCACTTGAAAACTTTGGTATGAATGGGTTTATTAGAATTGGAAAGATGGGAGTATATGGTGGGAGCAGGATATAAAGGAAAACTGAAGAAATTTCAGGATGAGAAAACCGAACCTCCAAAGCAGTCTTTACTGATTTTGTACTATGGTGAGAATAGTCCTGAGCAAGTGAGGGAAATATAATGGGGAAAAAAAAAAGTAAATTAATCTAAATTTGCGTTAGGTCAGATATGTTGACACTAAACTAAAATGTGTTGACCCTGCTTACTTTTTATTCTGTACTCCAGGGCCTGGCAGAATATGGGGATAATTCTTTGTCGATTTTTTTTTTAAAGTTTTACTTGCTTTTGTTGTGCCTAGAGTTTATTATAGTGTTCTTTCATACAGCCTTAGCTCCATTCAGCAAACATCTATTGAATAACTGCTAAAAGTAGACCAATGAATCAAATACAGCTGGCGAGGAAAGGATGCAGGAAAAAGAGTGGGAGGGGGCTGATAATAAAGGAAAGGGTGCCACCTCCCAGCAGCGTTTTAGAATCTAGATAAGCAAAAAAGACATTATGCAATTACCTCAAATATAAGGCAACATATATGTAATAAAGGACTAAGAGTGTCCTATCTAGTGCTTTAAGATTTCACAGAGGAAATTAGGGATAATGGAGGGCTGGAATAAGGAGTGGAATTTCAGAATGGAAGTCAGACAAGTCTTCCAGGAGAAGGAGAGTTTGGGCTAGGCCTATTAAGAATAGCAGGATTTCAATAAGTAAAGAACAAAAAGATATTCTGATTTCTAAAACTCATAAATTTTGCTGCTTTGTTATAAACTCACCTTTTAGTATTTTCACTTTCATCCTATCTGCTTCCACCAAATTAGCTTTGGATGCAGGTATATAAGTCTCCTTGAGTTTTCAGCCTGCTGCCTCAAATAAAACTCATGGGAGCCAATCTTCATGTATTTTGAAATAAAACACCCAGTGGTGAAATTTCCTGAGCTAGACTGCACTTATATTTCCTTTTTAGGTCAAGGAACTTTAGCCTGATTAGAATCAAAAGAATACCTCTATAAGAACATTGTTAAATTCCACTCCAAATTGGCCAAATATTAACAGTATATCAGAGCTAAAGGGGATATGAATGATGATTCAGTCTAAGCTCTCATTTTAAAGACGAAGAAGGTAAGAGAGAAAGAACTGGGTTCATGTCTCTTAGTGAATTAATGATAAAGCCAAGATCTAAACCCAGATTTCTTGACTTTTAAGACAATATCTTCACCAGAGTCATTTTCATCTGGCCAAAGTGTCATGACATTTATGAAGTGGGTGATTTATTTGTAGTTCTATCATCTGTGGTGAGACTTTGTCTTGTTAGTTACAGAGGAAAAGTCAAATATCAAACAGACTCAAAAGCTAAGTTCTATGGCTTTGCCTTTATACATAAAAGGGGTGGACATTATGTCTCACTTAATCATGCTAAGCAAAATAAGCCAGACAGAAAAAGTTGAAAATCACATGATATCATTAAATGTGGGATATAAGCATAAAAGCAACAAACGAACAGGACAAACAGAGACTCATGGTCATGGACAATAGACTAGTGGTTACCAGAGAGTAAGGAGAGAGGGGGAGGAGGGAGGTAAATGGGGTAAAAGGGATCAAATATGTGGTGACAGAAAGAAATCTAACTATAGGAGGTGGACATACAATGTAAATATATATATGCCTTATGGTTAAAATGTACAGCTGAAATGTATCATATTTCGTTAACCAATGTCACCATAAAAATAAATTAATTAATTTTAAAAAATCTACTTTAAAAAGAAAAAGGTGAAGCCCACTGAAATTAAGAATGAAGACTAAGATAATTCCTTTATCTTTTCTGAGTAGAGTAATTCTGAAATATTAAAAATTTTAAAGCAGAAATAAAGAAAAGGTTTGAGCTTTTATTATTGGTTCTAGGAGAAAATTTTCTTTTTAATAAATGTTTCGTTGTCATCTAATGTTTACCTGATGATTCTAAAATTACTGTTTCAATCTAGATTCTTTGTTGTGTTATACATAACATATTACATGGTACAATATAGATTATTATTAATATAGTTTTTCTAAACATATTCACACCATCAGACCTGCAATTTTAAATACCAGGTGTTATACTTTCCAAGAATTTTCTATAGTTTAAACCTTTATTGATTATGATTTAATCATGATTGTTATTTCTATAGCATTATATAATATGCAAAGTGCTTTATGCCTTGTTATGTAATTGTACAGAATTAACATTTCATCATCAAAAACATCAGAATGCTGCAATAAACAGATTAAAAAACATTTTAAAATTTGGTTACCTAAATTATTTTATTTTGGAAGTTACCAGTTAAACTAATAATTATACTCATCCTTTGTTTAAGTAAATTTTTTTTTGTATGCGGAAGGAGAGGGTATTTTATGGCCTGTGAGTTGTATGTGGAAGGAGAGGATATTTTATGGCCTGTGAGTTGACAATGTGCCAGCTTCTACATTCATTATCTTACTTACTCATCAAAACGACCCTATATTTTAGGTAAAATTCATACCCATTTTATAGCTGAAAAACAACAAACTTAGAGACGTTAAGTAACTTTCCCCAAGTTCCACAGCTTTTACATTCAAGAAATGTTGAGAATTAATTTGGAGTTTTGAAATTGCAATTTCGAAATAGAGAATATCATAGTCTATTTTCAGGCCCTAGTGGTACCTATTTGTGAAGTATAATAGAGCAACCAAGTTACAACAATCATTATAAATATACAGACAATAAAGGAGGAACTTAAAATGTTGATTCAGGAGATACACAAGGCCATGAGAAAAATTTCCAGTCTTAGGATTATGGAAATATGGCATAAAGGTGATTTCATATTTAGGGAGCTCTCACACAGTTCTAAACAGACTGCAAAATAACTCTCAGTACCAAAGTTTCAAGCAGATGTAGAGTAGATAACATATTCCACTCCTTTGTTTGCCAAATGTTTGTTATATCTGATATCTGTATGTTTGTCTTTCTTTGGGAGGGGGCCTCTGACTTGATCATGGAGAAGGTGAGAAAACAGAATTCACTTGACAGAAATTCACTGAATGCAGGAAAGGGGAGGTGTTGGTGGAAAGTTGTTTTTTCATCCAGACAAATAACCCAGTGGCCAAATGCAAACAGCCAATCTACTCAAGACCATGCTCATTTGCAAAACCAATATAATGAAGTTTAATTTGTTCATTGAATCTCTATTATTTATCTAGAAAATAAAGGATAAGATAAATGGTAAAGAGCACAGTGTCCAAAATAACAAATGGTGTTATCATGTAGTGGGACAAGTTTGGGGCCTGAGAGGAACCTAATTTGTTACTTCAATAATGTCCAGAAAACAATATAATTAAAGTCACAGTATAAGTGTAAGTGAACACTGGATTTCCCAATTAAAACAATAGAACTCAAAAGAAGAAAAAGGGATGCTATTTGGATCTGTATGCTCAGATCAGAATCCAAGGCTGGAGTGGTTTTATTGTTACTGATTTTAAGTCTTTAAAATTAGCAATAAACAGTTAATGAGAGTATCTACTGTGTTAGATCCTTGGTGATAGAAGATGCAGCTAGAGCCCACAAAGGTCACTTTATACAGTCTGTATTCAGATATATACATGTGGACAAAGCCCTACAAAGAAAAAAGTACCGTTTTGTGAAGACAGACTAGAGGGTCACTTATTCTTGAGATACAAT